CTTTAAGTAAAGAAATCATTCAATTCAAAAAAAAGAATATATATATATATATTTATTAAATACATTCAAATAAGAAAATTTTCTTTTTATTTGATCACAATGTCAACGATGTGATATTATTCTATTTTATATTACTCTAATATAATTTGCTAATGAATTTCATATTAACATCAATTACTTAAATAAATCGAATAGTTTTAAATAGTTGTCAAATAAAATTATTGCATTTCCATCATCTTATATCTTCATTTTGATGAATTAGTATCTTACAAATTTACTCTAGTTAAAGACATGAATTCTTATTTGATAGAGACGAGTTACAGATGTCATTGACAACGACATAAGCATAGATAATATTGCTTGCAGGAGTATACAGAAAAAATATCTCTCGTTCTTTTTCGACATACTGATTTTATCATCGATCACTTCAGAAATGTCAGAAAGGTACAATGCTGTGTAGTATTATTAGCCATTCGAAGAAATTTTGCAGCTTCTGGAAAATGTCTCTTCCTGCCTTGTTTGTGAAAGTTATTACTGTTCTGTACTCGTCGATTAACAATGATAGCAACCTAATGGTTATCTATATAACTAGACAAAACTGAGAAAAAAACCAGAATGTTAATATTGTTGTAATAACATGTACTCAGCATGTATTGATATCAAGTTCTTTGAATTCTATTCATTTTTATATTATAATATTTCGAAATTATTGCAGTGCAAGTCAAAAAAAAAACGAAATATCGAATGTAATGAAGAAAGAAAAAAACATCTCTGAGTGAAAATTAGATAACAACGGCTTTATGCAACACTTAGAAATCTCATTTGAGTTATGAAGAGCGTAAAAAATATAAAAGTAATATCCTTATTTATTATATATTTTCTCAAATAAGCAATACATGTTTCTTTTTCTTTTTTTTTTTTTTAATATTTTGATAACATTTGTTTTAATTATTAACTTACCTAATCCTAATTGACTAAAAGCTACTTTTGAAACAGTTCGGACAGCATGTCGAAATCTATCTTTTCGTGTTCTTTCAATTGATATACTACCAGGACTTGGTTTTAAAATTGTCACTTGATTTGCTGAATCACTAGCTTGTATATCGTCAGGTGAGGAAAGAACTAAACAAAATGAATTTCCTATTAAATAAAATTCAATAAATGATCACTGCATACATTTGCTTCTCTTGTCAGGTAATGGAATGTCTCCTTCTTCATCAAATGATAGAATAGGTGCTTGCATACGATCATATTTCGAATGACCTGGACGTATTTGTAATGCATGTGATGATCGATCAGGAAATTTAAACTAAATTAGTAAAAACAAAATACATGAAATATTTCTATCAATTCAATTATCACATATGTATCATTCTTAGATGAACGGTGTTGTTCAATTGAATAAACGAAATGTGTGTCAAAAGTTAAATCAGATGTAGATTTACATCCAAGATTAGAATAAGCAGATAAAGAAGAACGATTTTGTAACGAACAAATTGAACTTAATTGACGTGTTTGTTGATTTTTATCAGATGGTTTAAAAAGAAAATGCATTACTTTTAATTTTTACATATATATCTATATGTATACGATTGATAACAAAACAAAATTTAAAGCTTTTTTCCTTTGCAAAAAAAAAAAGAACATTAAACATTTCTTTCTATTCCTTTGCTTTTATGTATTCCGAACCATTAACGATCATATAACAAAAAACAAGCCACTATTTTTGACAAAAATTGTCACGTAAATCAACGTCACTTTGTAACTATAAAGAGTATCCATTCAGTTAGATAAATGGTAACATTCAAATAATTGCTCTTTTCTTTTTCAAAAAAAAAAAACGGCGTGATCATTATTTATTTATTATTTTTTGTTAAGAAAAAAAGTTCATTTCACAAAAGAAATTTTCTTTCAATTATTGACATGCGCAACTATAAAAAATAACGTTCTTTAAAATACTTTGATCTATCTTATCATCAATAATTGATGAATATGATTTTAGAATTCAAAAAATAAAAATAAAAAAGAAATTCATCTCGTTTATTCTATTAAAAAGAAATTTTCATATTAGAACTATTTGATAATAATAATTTTTTCTACCTTCGTGTTCTCATGAACATCTTCACTGTTTTCATTGATATCACTATTGGCATTTGGAATCTCATCTAGAGGTAATTTTCTTGAACGATAATGACGTAGATTAGATGATGTATGTCGAATATTTGTTATATTTGATCGATAGAAAATTGTATTTGGCTTTCGTTTTGAAGTTAATCTTGTGGCAATCATTTTTATAGACAATGATAATCATTCTTTCATTCGTTTTTATATATATTATATCTTGATCTCATACGTTGTTATTGTTACCGTATGAAGAGGCGTTGTAATAATACGGTTGATGATTATTCTGATGAGATGGTGACACAAAACCAATGAGAGAGAAAAAAAGATGGAAGGAAAACAATGTTTTATGTGGAAGATAAGATGATAATGATACACGGAACATAGAAACATACAATTGGATTCTCTTATCTTTTTTTTGGTTAGAAGTCAAAATAGAAGAATCTGATAATTTCTATGATTGATCTAATTATACAATCAGTGTCAAAAGGTGATAATATATGAAGTGGTTTTTTTTTTGAATTGTCATCCCAAATATTCTCGAAACAAAAAATGACAGAAATATCTTATACACATATATATATATATATATATCGATGGATAGGTTCTTTCATGCTAGATAAAGCTTAGAATAGTTATTCAAAATGTCATTAACACAGCGATAGGATAATCGAAGTAATTGTATACATGGTTTTTCTCGAGTACTTTTATTGAACAACAAAATATAAATGAATAAATAATATTTGAAAAAAAAAGAAATTTTTCAATGGACTATTGATCCAGTAGAAATCAAATGTATAATATACACAAATGAAAATATATTCTATATATATAGTCTCATATAATAGCTAGCGTTATGACATGAAGATATTTTCTACTTAATAAACTGTGTGTCAACGACAGTTATAAATAAATTCAGCGTATATGATAATTGAGGTTACATAGAATTGTTTTTGTCGATTACATGTTAGGTAATATATAATTTTCATTGATTGATCTTGAACATTTTCCAAATCTAATATTATTAAATATCTACATATTTCAATTGACATATAATTATGACATTTTGGACTAGTATAGAATTATTATTGTCATGTTTTATTACACTTTTTCGATTCAATTAAGCAAATAACTACTGTAAGAAACTCGTATTATCAACTTAGTTAATAAATTCTGTTTTTTTTTCCTTCACGTTCCAAAGTAATATTTTCAGGTATATTGTAGAAAACATCATGTAAAACTCATAGTTAGAAGTTAGAAAAAGTTCACTATATTCTAACCGCAATCAGATTTAAATGAGATTTACTTATTCGATCATCATAAAGCTATTTGAACAATATTGAAAAAGCAAGACATGCCGAAAATTCAGCACGACTTATAGACAAAAAATTACTTATTATATAGATCTGCACAATGTAATAACATAATTGTTTGTATATCAACTCTACTTATTGATCATTGGAATTATGTAATAAGACAATAAACAAATTAAGTCGTAGTACTAAAACAATTATCCGTTACTATTGTATTTCATTAAATAGAATAAGAAATGAATGTTTATTTTATAGAGAATATTCATATAGTTTAGATAGAAAGAATGTATTGTTTCTTTTTATTGGATAATTGAGTCGATGACTACTATAATTGATCAACTTATCATTGAAATAACAAATAATAGTAATAAGTATGTTATCGATTTTTTTTTCTCTACTTAAGTTTAAGATAAAATGACATTGAGAGACATAAGGAAAAAGAATAACAATTGATGAGATCATCTTAGTTCTTAGGAAATAATTGATCATCATAGAAATGTTAACGTTGATTAATAATGACAAAACAAAATGCGAAGAAAAAGAAGTATGGCAGACCCATGATAAATTAATCCGAAAAAAGAAACAATCTATTCCTTAAACCAATTATGATGTCGTTCACTTGTCAATCTAATAAGCATATTTATACATGACGTCAAATCACAATTTCATTGTTCAAAATTTTTGATGAAGTAACACAAATAAACTATGAATATAATAATGTTCTCTAAGATCCTTTTGTCATGAATTTCTTTCTCTCGATCTATTTATTGTAACAAATAAAAATATTTTTACGAATAGTTTATCATATTTTCTACAATTTGTAATCGACACAAAAATAGAAGACTAGTAAAAAACTAAATTGCTTATGATACAACATTTCTCTTTCACATGCATTCCAACACATTACAAATAACATTCTTTTCTTTTATCCTATTATTTAGTAATACATAAATCGAAAAAAAAACATTATTAAAACTATCTCATTCAAATTCATCATTTAACTTCATCAAAATATGATTAATAAATATTTGATAATCATCGACTAGCATTCATCATCTTCTCCTAATACAATCTCATTACATTACTAAATATAAGCAAATAAATAACGATATATAATAAATCAGAAATGTTGAATGACTGATTATATTATGAATCTTACCTGATTCCAATAAGAAGAAGAAGTTAAAATTGTAAAAACTCTTTTAATACAATTCATGTTAAAAGAATAATAATTCAATTTTGTCTTAATCAATCTCGATAAGATTCGTTTGATATTAAATTCTATGTAAACAAAGTTATAACGATAAATACCTTTTGTGCTTTACGAGGTTTGATAAGACGAGTAGTAACTAATGCCATTTAGCACATATCTTAACGTTTTAAAGTGCACGTCAAATCTTTTCCTTAGGCAACAAGTAACAATCATAAATTTTTTCTCTCTGATGTTCCAGAAGATATCCGAAACTTTACACTTCAATAACTATCAGACATCTTTTCTCGCATGATAAAATTACAAATGATTATATAATAAAAAACAAAACAAAAAAAAAAAGAATCATTGAAAGATTAATTAATAACTACCTGATATTTATCACTATCAGAAGATGATCGAGTTTTTTTTGTATGAAATATAGTTTGATGATGTTGAATTTCAGATTGTTTCCGTGAGCGACGTTGTCGAGCATGTTCTATTTTATATTCTTCACTAACTAACGGATCAGATGTTGTTCTCTTGTCATCTTTACCTTCACGACGCCAACGAAAGATATGAAACATTTTGTTGATATTTTATTGTTATTATTGTATAAATATTTTATATATGTGATATTTATATATATATTGTCAACAGTCGTTTGAACAAATAATAACAAAAGACGAATGACAAGAAAGAAAATGGACCAATTCAATAGTATGTATATATGTCAATCAATAGCAATTGTGATTGTCATTTTCTTGTCTAGAATATTGTTTTTAGTCAAAATACTGTCGTCACAGAATAGAAAGATCTTCAGACAATCAAGCTATGAAACAAATATATTAGTTTTCTTTTTTTTTGTATAGTCTTATTCATTGTCGACAACGATCTTCTTTCTTTTCTTTCTTTTTTCGGATAGAAATACATATATTTATTTACTACTGTAATGAATTTTTTTGCGTTCTATCAATTCTGAAAAAAATCTAATATGAACGATCGACAATATCTAATTTTGTCATTATATGTATACAAAAAAAAAAATCCAACAGAAATTTTTATAGGCTTTAGTAGCAGTTGCCAAAACGATTGACAGACTTACTAGTATTACTGTCTGTGAAGGATAAGTGACAGTTGTCATAAACTCGAACGATTCATATAATTATTGACAGAAAGAAAACATCTCAAGTATCTTCAATTCAAGATAATTACCGTTTTGTTTTTTTATTAATATATCATTATCAACAAAGGTTGTTTTTAAGAGATATTCTGGTTTACTAAGTAGGTGTTTATATTTATAATATTCAATAACAAAAACAAATAGATTATCTGTTAATCTAAAAGGACGATATACAGGTATTCATTTTCTATATTATCTAATGAAAAATTCATGAATGATAATGAATAAATCGATAGAATTCTAATGAATTTTGAAAGCTATACATCATAATAAAGCTAATCAAAATAGTAGTTATGTATGTGAAACTATCGAAATATTAAATAAGATGAATCGACTAACGAAAGAAGATCTTCAAGTGTGACGCAGCTAATCAATGGTTATTTTCTTCGCGAGTAGATTTTATTGAGACTAGAAGAAGGTCGAATGCAGATTTGAAATTAGCCTCAATATTCGATCCTACAATATATGAGATCTCAACTTCTTCAAATTTCTATGTATATAACTTTGATCATGATTGAGCAATTATTGCACGTGAGAACAGGTTAGAGACGTGAAAAGCGATATTGTTTTACTAAAAGAATTCGTTTTTAATGAAAACTGATCTAAAGATGATAATGAACTATATGTTTATATAATTGAATAAATGCAATAGAAAATAAATTATCAATTAAGGTGAACATGTATTATGGTGATGAAGAAAGAATTCATCGATACATATATTCACAATTATGAAATTTGGTACCAACAATGCATTTCATTCGAGCATCAACAACAACAAGCATACGTATACTTTTCTATATAACATCAAAGTCTGGAAGTCATACTAAAATTATGAAAGTATCTGCAGAATGTTGATTAACTTCGGTACGAGTCTAAGTGCAAAAAAAACATACTAACACAGAATATCGCTTCTCGTCTCACTGAGATCTATTTGTGGGTAAAATATCGACTTAATATTGCTGCGTCACACTTGAAGACCTTCTCTCCTAAGATTTTAAAAATGATTAAGTCTAACATCAAACAATGATCTAACATTAAGATTCGTCTAATGAAAAAAAAACTAGCTCTGTAATCAAACGAAAATAAATATTGTTCTAAATCAAATTATTACCTAATTTAAAAATTCTTTGATCTCAAACTTACATCTAATTTTGGATTTTTTACTGTTTTCTATATAATAAAAGATATTTATTACCAGTTAAAACTATGATCATATAGAAGCAAAAAATCGGCTTGAAGGACAACCACTATCAACAAATAGAAGTAATGATTTTATGCATTCGTAATACTTGTCTTATCTTATATTCTTTTGATATCACTATGATGTATTTCTTATATTGCTAATAACGATTTAATTAATTGTTGTTATTATTCGTGTAGTTATATAAATAATGAAGATTAATTTCTAGTCTACATGTTTAATAGCGATAGTGTTGAACATGACAACTATCAGAAAGAGAAGTATACTTTCTCATAGATACTGACTGAGATGGCTTATTAACGATGACTCTTTTGTCGAAGGAAACTATAAATCATATTAGGAATGCAAAGAATTACGAAGAAGAAGACAATAATATTGAATAACTTTTTATTAAAAACAAATATTGAGAACATTACTTCTGAACTTGATGATTAAAGTGCATGACAGTCATTGAAGATAGTATTTCTTCCCATAGAATCTCTCTTTCAGAGGAGTGATTTAGAACTTCGAAAAGTCGCAGTTTCCATGCAGCAGAAAAAAAAATTGATTAAAGAAATTATTATATTTGAGATGAAATAATTATAGTGATCTCCACTTTACATTATATATATATACGTCTATTATATTTTGAATGTATTCTGATAGCTTTTGAATCTTTATTAATTACTGCTACGTTCATACCTTTGATATTTCAAATGATTTTTGTTCGATATCAATATCATTTTCTCTTGTTGAATATGTTGATTGATATAAACTTAAAAGATTTCGTTGAGTAGTTGACAAAATTCTTTCATGCACTTCATGCTGATTATCATTTACAAGACGTGATCGATGTTTTTGCCAAGAAAATAATTTCGATGAACGAAAATACATTATAACAGAAGAAAAAAAAACTAAGTCAACTATTCATTTATATTTTCTCAAACACGATAACTAATAATAATGAACTAGAACATTTTTTTTCTTTCATTCAACTAACATTGTAATTTTTCATTTTTTATGTATTCATCTTAATCAACACTCTAGAGAGTAGTCGAGTACCTATTTATTTCTTAGTTCTTTTATATTTTCCTTTTAAACAATTGATTACTCATAGATATATATATATGTATACACAATAGACATGTAAGACCTTCTGCTTTCTTTCATTCGACATTCGATGATAGAAACAAACAAGATATTGTCTAAATAACAAATAGAACAGACATTATCAATATTGTAAAAAAAAGAAAGATTAATCAGAAAACTCATTATCCAAGGACATATTACCTCTTGTTAATCTCTTATTACAAAATGAATCATTGTTTTCACAGAAAATAAATTAAACACAATAAAAATTATTTGTAGAAACTAAGACAGGCTTTTTTTTTTTCTTTCGAGTAATCTATTCATTACTTTTCTATACATTTCAGTATTCTCTAATTAAAAAGTCAGAAAATGAGAAAAATCTATTATTTACTTACATTTTTAAAAAGTGGTGATAGCTGCCTTACAGTATTATGAAATGGCAATTGAACATGTGAAGATAATGGCACATGAATACATTCACTAAGTATTATAGGTGAATCAAGTTGGTCAGTGACAAGAGCAGGTGGACGTTGAATATTACCTTTTCGATTTATGCGAAAGAAATGCATGTTTTAGACGTTTATTACTACATTGGTTGTGCAACTGAAATTATTTACGAATACATAGAAAACTACGGATTGAATAGCAAAAGCAAACAAAAAGAGATCAAAAAAGAAATGTTTAGACCAACACAGCACAAAGTCATCAATCATCTATTCGCTTTTGTTTATTTAATTTCCTGTATTTTTGTGTACGCTCTATCTATCTTCGCCCTTGTATCTCATTTTATTCATAATGAGTAAGGAAACAGTAGACGAACTCACATACACACTACATAAATCTGTAGTCAAAAAAAAAATGGATATTAGATATAAATACAAGAAAGAAAAGAACAGTTTTATTATCTTTAGAGACCTTTTTTTTCTTCTTATGTCATAGAAAGTAAAATAATTTCTTTTCTAATGTCCCAGAATGAAAGTTTCAAGAAAAGTACTATGCATAATTATAAGTAAGAAAACTATTTCGATGTCTCAATATGCATCAGTTGAGATAAATCAGGAATAATTTCTTTAATGACTTCATTTAGTGAATGTGTCAGGATAGAAAAACAAAAAACTTATCCACTATGAATTAATTTTATCATTTCATCATCAATTAATTGAATAATTGCTTTAAAGATAGTCTACAAAATCCAACTTATTTATTTCACTACTTTTTGTATAGATGTTTGATTGTTGTTTTAACAAGAAACTAGAGGTTTCTAGAGAATAGTTGATCAAAAAAATTTGAAACATTCAGGTCAGATAAATTTTCAAAAGTAGAAAAAAAGTTGTGCTTACAATCAAAACGTCAACATACCGCACTTATCCTAAAAAACGCTTGTGAAAGCTGTCAAAAACTATCTGAGCTATTGTTTTGAAATACTTTTCAATCTGCACAGATTACGTTTTTATTATGCCTGTGAGATGCCTATAATTAAACACACATGAATAATATACTTCTTATTACCTATAGTTCTTTTTTTACTTTACGAAAGACATGAAATAGTCAACAAAAAGTGTCGAGAATATTCAAAAAAATTTTCATGTTACTTCTTAAGACATCTTATACGGTGGTTAAGTCTAATCTACATTACAGAACACATCATGAGCTTAGAAATGATCAACAAACTAAGTATATAAGCTGTATCGTGACTAGTTTATTTTCTCTATTGATGCTATTGAAACTATACAATAAGAAAGAAAGACATTAATAAACAGAAATGGACAAATAGAATGTCAACCATATAAAACGACGATTTTGTAACAGTAACGAGTCATTATAATGACTGATAAGAACATATATAAACGATGAATATTCATGGAGTAAATCAGATAGTACTCTATTATGATTATTCATCTTTTAATCAATTACAAATTTCAAATGACGATGACAAGACAACTAATAGAAATTCATTCTGACGTCAAACTTATTAGTAACATACAAACTTGTAATTTTAATTTATGTTAATAAAATGGTTACAATACATGTAACTTCTATTTGTATCTTGTGTCAAAACTAGTAATACGTTTGAATGATACTCAAGTAAATGAACCATTGATTTCATATAAGAAAAAGTTTGTTTATTTGGATAA